CTCTTGACAGGTAAAAAAATATAGTTTAAACTCAGAAGAATAAAAGCCAACAATGGAAAGCAATACCCCATCCCTCAAACTAACGACAAAAACGCTTGACTTCAAACTTCGCTTTATTAACACCGCAATCGCTATAAAAAATGACCGAACAATCACATATATATTTGGTATCTTGATTCTTTTTGTGAAAAGGTGATAGCGTGATTACTGTCGAGTGAGATCACAAATACTAGCATCTAGCCCAGGTGGTGCGCCCCTACATACGAGCGTATATACAACATAACAGCGGTGAGCAATATATGGTATGATTTCTGCCTGAGGAGATCACTAACTAATATCTAGATCACCACTGCGCCTCTAATTATATATACCACCTCACAACAGTGGGGAGCAATGTAAGTCGTGCAATAATATATAAGGGAATGGTGGTCTAGTGGATAGAGTGGAAGGTCGGGGTTCGATCCCCGCCCGCGTCATACCTAAAGACGTTAAAAGATGGTACTAGTTGTTACCAAGGACTTGATGGGGAGTCAGTATACTGCAGTGTGGTCCATGGTAAAACTGCGGTTAAAAATGGTATCTCAATGGGCTTGCAATGTAAAACCGGTATAGTACGGACTTGTACACGCATGCGCATACACAGTCTTGAACATCGCATTTCCCATGACCTTGCCTACGAGTGAATGACGTTTTCAGTGTATACATCATCTAAGGGTCAGTTAAGGCGAACAAGGAATTCCGGTCCAGTCTGAAATATACCGACATTATCTCCCGTAGGAAATTGACTATATTTCACATGTGCATTGATAAAAAGGGATCCATATTTCCTTTTGGGATTACCACCATGAAATATATTGGGTTCTTACGTGTTGCTTAAAAGTATCATACAGGTTCTTTGATAACTTTGATCTATAGAACCCTTGATACAGTGAGTGCGTGTGGTTTTACGCCGCTTTTAGCAATATTCTAGCAATATCACGGCGGGGTACACCACATTGTACTCATGTTGGGAATCGAACAAAGGCCTTCGGTATGACGAGCGAATGATTTAACCTATAGGCTAACCCCCCATCCCCACCCCCCATCCCTTGATAAATGCTATTTCATACACCCTATGTAAGGACTTACAATATCATCTAACTGTTTGATTCATTTTGGCATTTGTTATTCATGCTGTTTGGCATCCTATAAGTTGTTGAGTAAGTAAGATACCGCACAACTTTATGGCTAACAACGGCGGAAGTATCTACATCGAAACGTCGCTATATGAAATAAACCAGAAGTTACCTTCCTTTTTCATAATGTCTTATTTCCTCTTACATTTATTTACTCCTACATACTTATACTTGCATTATCTTATTCTTGCATACCGTCCGATATCCTCATATAGTTATATATCACCTGATATCCACATATTATGCTGTATTTGCATATCATCATATCCTCATATATACTGAGCCGCAAAAGAAACGTCACTCCAAGAAACATTGCATGAAAAGTTGTCATTTAAATATCTGGGTATTTTTTGTCAAAGTTTCTAAAATTTAACATAACTTTGTCCAGAAAAATGCAATTTGATGATAAAAAAAAAGCAAGCAGATGTACAATAAAACCGATTGCCCAAACGCATCACGGCAACGGCCATGGTAACCCATTTCCCCCATTTCTTGCCCTATAAACATCCACCCAGATCGGATAACATTCATTCGTTATTGAATTTCTACCACATGCCAAGATTGACAAGAAATCAGCGACAGCAAGCCCTTTGACGATTGCAACCTGGACAAACCGCCCGGCAAGGAGCCAATGCATTTCAAGTCCTAGTAAGGACCATATACAGGCTCCAGAAACGGTACCAGACCATCAACACTACAGATGACTGACCACGTAGTGGAAGACCAAGGGTCACCACCCGATGTCAGGATCGTCACATTGTGCGACAGCATCTTCAAGATCGCTTTGTTACTGCTGTGGAAACTGCTCGACAGACCATGGGGACACACCAGCGAGGACCCATTCTGACACCACGTCATTGCTGGGACCGTCTTCAGTGGGCACCAGCATTGGCGCCACCAGCAGTGGAGCAGATCCTCTTCTCAGATGAGAGCCGTTACTGTATCTCAACAGCAGATGGCAGAGAGAATATAGCGACGCCGTGGGGAACATTATTCGGATGCTTGTTTTGTTGGCGGTCCGAGCATCAGGGTGTGGGATGGAATTGGTCTTGCACAGAGGGTCGGCCCTGTGGTCTTCCAGAACATCGGTCCAGGGAGGGTCAATGGTGTCACAGCAGCTCGGTACATTGATCAAGTCTTGAGACCACACGCCATACCTCATTCGACACGTCGCCGTAACCACGAGTTTCAGCATGATAACGCCCGTGCCCACACTGCAAGAGCAACAAGAGACTTACTCCAGCAGAATGGCACCAGAACCATGCAGTGGCCTGCCCTCAGTCACGATTTCAATCCCATTGAGCACCTGTGGGACGAGATTCAAAGACGGCTGAGTGACGTCCGACCAAGGCCGACAACTGCAGCTGAACTGCGTCAGGCGTTCCTCAGTGTGTGAGCTCAAGTGGGCCTTCATCAACCGCCTCGTCCATTCCATGTATTGACGTTACTTTTACCAGCGTGTATTCTTTGGCTTCAAACAGCGGACTCCTAGTTTTGTTTCTTTTTTTTTAAAGTTGACTTTCTATTTAATCATATCTGAATGTATGACAAAGAATTTTCGATGAGATTAACATGATGTTTCACTCGACACATGAAATATCCTCTATATATTTACACATGGTCTGAAATCATCACATGATCTTATATTTACATATGGTCTAAAATCATCACATGATCTTATATTAACATATGGTCTAAAATCATCACATGATCTTACATTTACATTTGGTCTTAAATCATCACATGATCTTATATTTACATATGGTCTGAAATCATTACAAGATCTTATATTTACATATGGTCTTAAATCATCACATGATCTTATATTTACATATGGTCTGAAATCATTACAAGATCTTATATTTACATATGGTCTGAAATCATTACAAGATCTTATATTTACATATGGTCTGAAATTCCCACATGATCTTATATTTACATATGGTCAGAAATCATTACAAGATCTTATATTTACATATGGTCTGAAATCATCACATGATCTTATATTTACATATGGTCTGAAATCATTACAAGATCTTATATTTACATATGGTCTAAAATCATCACATGATCTTATATTTACATATGGTCTGAAATCATTACAAGATCTTATATTTACATATGGTCTGAAATCATTACATGATCTTATATTTACATATGGTCTGAAATCCCCACATGATCTTATATTTACATATGGTCTGAAATCATTACACGATCTTATAATAACAGATGGTCTGAAATCATCACATGATCTTATATTTACATATGGTCTGAAATCATCACATGATCTTACAATAACAGATGGTCTGAAATCCTCACATGATCTTATAATAACAGATGGTCTGAAATCCTCACATGATCTATATTTACAGATGGTCTGAAATCATCACATGATCTTATATTTACATATGGTCTGAAATCCCCACATGATCTTATATTTATATATGGTCTGAAATCCTCACATGATCTTATAATAACAGATGGTCTGAAATCCTCACATGATCTATATTTACAGATGGTCTGAAATCATCACATGATCTTATATTTACATATGGTCTGAAATCCCCACATGATCTTATATTTATATATGGTCTGAAATCTTCACATGATCTAATATTTACATATGGTCTGAAATCATCACATGATCTTATATTTACATATGGTCTGAAATCATCACATGATCTTATATTTACATATGGTCTGAAAATCTTCACATGATCTTATATTCACATATGGTCTGAAATCATCACATGATCTTATATTTACATATGGTCTGAAATCATCACTTGATCTTATATTTACATATGGTCTGAAATCTTCACATGATCTTATATTCACATATGGTCTGAAATCATCACATGATCTTATATTTACTTATGGTCTGAAATCATCACATGATCTTACATGTGCATATCGTCTAATATTAGCATATCGTATTTATATTGATGTCATCAGGTTTAAACGTTTACAACTTTCAGTTTACAGGCATAAGGTTTTTATACAAAGAGTGATTACATAAACCTTTCATTCATACTAATTACCACCTACACAATACAATGTGTACGAATCAGAACTGACACGGAATGTGTAATTGTCCAGAATCAAAATTATTCTCATTTTATGTTCCAATTCCCTTTCACTGATTTACCCTCGTGAACAATACATATAAAGGAACAGGGAGACAACCTCGTCTGCTTCATGTTTAGATCTTTGCATAAAGATTCAGAGTGACAAAAAAAACTCACGAAAAGACTATATAACAAAAGGAATGACTTCAACTTTCCAATTGTCAACTTTCCCTTATCTCAAACAATATTCCAGCAGCTCCAAGCTTTGGTGTCTACATTTCACAACGTTTGGGGTACTATCGAGCATGCTCTTTCTACGAAGATTTCAAAGAGCGCCATACAACTGTTGCTCATTGTTTGATCAAGGTTACAACATTCGAGCCCTCAGTGAAGTTTTCAAAAGGTTTTATGGGAGACATGTAGAGGACATTTCCAAATTTGACTCATCAATGACAAAAAGGATGTTTGATGCAATTCCCTATTTTGACGTGTATCGTGTGTTCCCGTGTGTGTTTTTCAGGAGACCTATTGACTTTCCTTTGCATGTGTTCGTGACGGGTGCTACCGGTGGGGCAGGCTACCTTCACCTTTTCATGAACACCAGGTGTCATCACTGTTTGATGGTGATTCATAAACACGTGCTGATGGTGTGGTCGGGGGCGTGCAGTCTGCTTTGGGCGGAAATGTCTTATGAATATGGATTTTGTCGCTTTTGTTTTAACCAGTTCAATCACTCACTTCTGTCTGTTTGTTTCAGTGGTGTGTGGAAGGAGCGTGTCTCTATGACCGCAGGGCGCCGATTTGACGACATCTCACACGCTACGTGGGGTGAATATCAAATATCACAAGTATGCATTTTGATCGTGGTCTGGAAATGTCAGTTAATAATAAACGGTTATAACGTTTGCTTTGATAATTCACCCATGCCAACTTTATTTTAGTTTCAATCATCACAAAAATAGCTGAATAAGCAGTAAGCAGTGTCTGTTTTCTTATTTTGAATATAGAGAGAATTTCAATTTAGCACCATTTAATAACTTATTGGTGTTGAGCGAGTGTGGTTTTACGCCGTTAATTTGCAATATTCCAGCTATATCACAGCCATCACCTCTAAGAATTGGCTTCACACAGTGTACCAACGTTCGAACAAAGGCATGTGACATGACGTGCCAAATCCTTGACCAACCGTTTCTCATGTCCGTGATCATTCTTGCTTATCCTCTTACACTTATATATCCACTTACACTTACATATCATCTTACAAATACATATCATCTTACACTTACATATCCTTTTACACTTAAATATTATCTTCCACTTACACTTATATATCCTCTTACACTTACATATCCTCTTACACTTACATATCCACTTACACTTACATATCCTCTTACACTTACATATCATCTTACACTTACATATCCACTAACACTTGCATAACATCTTACACCCACATATCATCTTACACTTACATATCCACTGACACTTACATATCATCTTACAAATACATATCATCTTACACTTACATATCCACTTACACTTACATATCAGCTCACACCAACATATTATCTTACACTTACATATCCTCTTACACTTACATATCCACTTACACTTACATATCATCTTACACTTGCATATCCACTTACAAACACATACCATCTTACACTTACATATCATCTTCCACTTACATATCCACTAGCAAAAACATATCATCTTACACCTACGTATCATCTTACAAATACATATCATCTTATACTTACATATCATCTTACATCTACATATCATCTTACATCTACATATCATCTTACATCTACATATCATCTTATACCTACATATCATCTTACATCTACATATTATCTTACAAATACATATCATCTTACACCTACATATCATCTTACATGTACATATCATCTTACATCTACATATCATCTTATACCTACATATCATCTTACATCTACATATTATCTTACAAATACATATCATCTTATACCTACATATCATCTTACATCTACATATCATCTTACATCTACATATCATCTTATACCTACATATCATCTTACATCTACATATTATCTTACAAATACATATCATCTTACACCTACATATCATCTTACAAATACATATCCACTTACATCTACATATCATCTTACACTTGCATATCCACTTACAAACACATACCATCTTACACTTACATATCATCTTCCACTTACATATCCATTAGCAAAAACATATCATCTTACACCTACGTATCATCTTACAAATACATATCATCTTACACTTACATATAATCTTACACCTACGTATCATCTTACAAATACATATCATCTTACACTTACATATAATCTTACACTTACATATCATCTCACACTTACATATCATCTTACAAATACATTTCATCTTACAAATACATATCATCTTATACCTACATATCATCTTATACCTACATATCATCTTAAACCTACATATCATCTTATACCTACATATCATCTTATACCTACATATCATCTTACACCTGCAAATCATCTTACAAATACATATCATCTTATACCTACATATCATCTTATACTTACATATCATCTTACACTTACATATCATCTTAAACCTACATATCATCTTATACTTACATATCATCTTACACTTACATATCATCTTATACCTACATATCATCTTACACCTGCAAATCATCTTACAAATACATATCATCTTAAACCTACATATCATCTTATACTTACATATCATCTTACACTTACATATCATCTTAAACCTACATATCATCTTATACTTACATATCATCTTACACTTACATATCATCTTAAACCTACATATCATCTTATACCTACATATCATCTTACAAATACATATCATCTTATACCTACATATCATCTTATACCTACATATCATCTTAAACCTACATATCATCTTATACCTACATATCATCTTACACTTACATATCATCTTACAAATACATATCATCTTAAACCTACATATCATCTTATACCTACATATCATCTTACACTTACATATCATCTTACAAATACATATCATCTTATACCTACATATCATCTTATACCTACATATCATCTTATACCTACATATCATCTTAAACCTACATATCATCTTATACCTACATATCATCTTACACTTACATATCATCTTACACTTACATATCATCTTACACTTACATATCATCTTACACTTACATATCATCTTACACTTACATATCATCTTAAACCTACATATCATCTTATACCTACATATCATCTTACACCTACACATCATCTTACATTTACATATCATCTTACACTTACGTATCATCTTACATTTACGTATCATCTTACATTTACGTATCATCTTACACTTACGTATCATCTTACACTTACATATCATCTTACACTTACGTATCATCTTACATTTACGTATCATCTTACACTTACGTATCATCTTACACTTACATATCATCTTGCACTTGCATATGCTCTTACACTTACATAACCTTTTACACTTACATGTACATATCACCTTACACTTACGTATCATCTTATATTTACAAAGCCTCTTTCACCAAGTTGATTTACTTGACATGTCTGTTTAGAAAAGAAGCAAAAATGTCAGTCTAAAAAAGGCAATATTTTAGTTTTGTATTGTGTCAATATTACCGCAAAGAGATGTGGATATATGGTGTTTATTGTTACGGCTCTAGAGGGATATAAAGCAATTATGAGCCTTACTCTGAAATGTTATAGGATTTAGAAATTCCAGAGAGTCACACAAGAGAGGAATATAACTAAATAATTACGCGTGAGTATTACGTTGTGACAGGTTGTGGCATTTGAAACGTTATTTACATTCGTGTCTCTATCACAAGAAAAGCAATCCAAACATTATAGAAACATCTTTTGTTGTTGTGATAATTGACTTGCCTTTACATGTGTTTGTGATACGCTCACTGTTTGATAGTGATTCGTAAACACATGCTAATAATATACCTGTAGTCGGAATAGAACTATGGACTCTGTCTATCTGGATGATTATGGAAAGGGTTTTTACGCTTGTATTTATTGAATAAACTGTTTCGGACTGAAGTCAATGATATTCAACAGAGTGTCCGGTGTCTATTTCAAATGCACCAGAGGCAAATGTAATGTCCCATACTGTAGGTGCACGATTGCACACAATAACCCAGGTCGCCATACCAGTAACACGATCCATTCTACCCCTTCAGTCCTCTGAAACATAATGCGTCTAATAATTTAACAAAACCATTTGCTAGAAATATTTCGCAATTTTTCCCATATTTAGTGACTCACAAGGGTAATCGCGTACTTTTTATGTCATTGGGGAAAATCTGCTCGTTTTCTGTTGATTGCTTATGCATTAAGTGAATAATAGCATGCTTAACGGCTTATTGTTTAACCAATAGTCTTCCTCGAGTTCTACTTTGCCCGCTGTATCCTAGCATACAAGCCAGGAGGCTTAACACTTCCATAACCCTGATCCTAGTTTCCAGGTGAATACAGCACCCCCAACTGATACCTTAAATCATTCAATAAATGTCCAGTCTCACGTACTGAAGCTTTAAAGGGGAAGTGTACACGCAAAAATCACTTTCTTTCTTTTTCTAAACAAAACACAATTTTAGAATTAGTTAGTATCTGTGTTTGAAAATATACACTCATTTGTTTCACAGTGAAAGTAGGAAGCTCACAATAGTGTGAAAATGATATGCCGTTATGAGGCCTTCGTTTTTCGAGTTAAACAGGCCTGAGTTATCCCCCTTAGATTATGACGTAATTGGTGCCAATTCAACTAGGTCCCTGTCTATTCTCAACGCAAAAGATATCAAGTACCAGTTTGCGGTAAAACAACATGGCCAACGACACACTCCGGCGCAGTGGTGACTCAGCATAACACTATGCTGGCTGGCATCTCAGACGCTAGAATCACACACCTGTACCTACACCACGTGAAGCTGCTCTAACAAAGCATGATGACGTCATAATGTTTATCAATTGGCACCAATGACGTCATATTGCAAGGGGCATAAGCCATGGTGTTTTTGTTATGGAAATAGAACACTTGGTACATGTGAAAAATATAAATCGTTTTAATGCAAAAAATATGTTAATTAATTGTAATAATTTTATATTTTTTGTCTATGACACTTCTAGGTTAACACTTTCAATGTGGAAAAAGTACAAGAAAAATAGGTTCATTTCCGTGTGAACTTGCCCTTTAAGGGGTGAGCTATTGTTTAAATGTTGAAGTTTATGTTTCACAATATTGTGTGTGTGTGTGTGTGTGTGTGTGTGTGTGTGTGTGTGTGTGTGTGTGTGTGTGTGTGTGTGTGTGTGTGTGTGTGTGTGTGCGTGCGTGCGCGCGCATGTCTGCCTGTACTAGTCCGGACTGATGCTGATTAATACTGCTAACCCACTGAGATACCATGCCGCAGCTTAACATGAATACCCCCACTCAGACAAAGTATTCTGCCTCCGAGCCGACCAGTCCTTGTTTTAGAATCTTAATGCCGAGCGCCAGACAGGGTGACAACAAGTACCATCTTTTAACATCTTTTGGTAAGACACGGCCGGGGATCGAACCCCGGACCTTCCGCTCTCCGGGTGGACGCTGTACCACCTAACAAAATGTGAAATATTAAGAAGAGACGAAATGTATTTGAAATTTATGCAGACGTCTCCCTAAAACACATAAACGCCTGCCTCGACTAAACCCCTGTCTAGGGACCTTCCGGAACAGAAAGATTCCGGCGTTTGAAGGATTTACGGTAGGGCGTCGTGTCACATAGGCGCAGCCGGATATGACGGGCAAAAAAGGTTAAGTAAACGAGTAAATTGCTTTTAGGTTGTACATGTTAATACTTTTATTGAGGACAACAGGTGTTTTGTGAATACATAAATTCCTA